TTAAAAGTATCGATACTAATAAATTTAGGAATCGTGACGTTTTTAATTTCTGAGAATCGCGATACTTTTGAAGTATCGGTGCACCGTGCAACACGAGTTCACACTGACTACGTGTACAGGCACACCAGTTTTACAATGTTATTCCCAAAATGACGATATTCCATATTTGACAAGGGTCATGTTAACAGCATATTCCGTTTGGATGTTCCTAATTGCTTTATTCTCAATGGAGCACTTTGTCGGATTAAGATATGCGGGATATGCTGATATTATTCAGGTTTTAGAAGCATTCTTTGGACATGTATACAGAACATTCAAAATATGTCTCATTTGGGCTAACAGCCTTAAAAAGGTTTGTGCAAATATCTCGATGCAAAGAGGCAGAATGGCAGAAGTGTCTCTCGCTGTTCCAGTTTTAACATGACTGCAGTTTGAAGAGGAGGGCGGTAGGACGTACGGAGCGTCATTAACAGTCACTTTAATCACAGTATGCACTGCTGTATTTGAACGGTAAATATTAGTGGAATATTTTTGATTCGCCAGGTTAATGTCTCTAGGAATATTTTTGGTAAAAAAAAAAAAATTCTGTGCATGTAAACGTAGTTATCGTGTGTTATGCTGCTTTAAACTCGTATAAACACATATCGGAGCTACGGTGTGATGACAGTATTCTCTCTTTCGCCCACAGAGTGCTTTCATTGGATTTGGTGGGAATGTCGTGAGGCCGCAGGTGAAGGAGAGGTCTTTGTGGTACGTGACAAGTTTCGGGGAGCTGCTAAAGGAGCTGGAGAAGATTTAAAGATGCTAAAAGAGTACTGTCACTAATTTTAACCTTTTTATATTTGCACATATGGATGTGCCTTTTTCATGGTTTTAATTTTCCTTTTTGTCTCTCAATAGATTTTTATAAAGAATGAAAATGTTTACACTAGTGAGACCAATCTTACTTCATGGCCATGTTGCCCTATTGATTTTTATACTAGAAAATACTAAACAAATAACCAAACACTGTCTACGTGAAGGTTAAGAAGATTATTTTAGATGTTTGCACCTTTTGCATCAAAACCTTTAAGGTAAGCTAATACAACTCCTGCATATTATGGCATGTGCAATGAGCAATAGAAAGAGCTGTACGCAGTCACAGTCAATGAGTGTGGTGACTTCTTGTTATGTAGAGAACATCAGTATTAAACATGAAGAACATGCTGTCAAAGAGGTTTGTTTGAACTGCTTTAATCTGTGTTGCGTTCTTGTCCTTCCCTCTACACTGTCCCTTATGAACCGAGGAACAAAAAGACAAGATAAACATGCTTCCTTTAACAGTAAAATCTGATATTACAATATGCAGCAGCGTGACTACCCACTGCCAGATTCACTCAGCCACGGATAAACTGTTTTCAGAGTTAATCATACATGATATTTATGCCCCTTTAAAACATGTTGAATAAAAACCTTTTTTTTTTTCTTTAAACCAGGCATGCCGTCTTCACAAGAAAAAAGTAGAAGCCATAGTTACAAACACAGCACCATGAAACATCAACATTACTATGACAGGGAACCTAGGAACATCCAGAAAAAAAGCAACTGAGAAGAGTAAATCCTTGATTTATAATAGAAAATTAGGTTTACATTTTACACCGTGTCATACTTTTATTGTTTTCATGAATGTACAGAGGTTTTCTCTCACTTCACTCAGCAATAGCATGGCTTACATCAAAGTGCCACTTCTCAGCACACTTTTAATGTATTCCAATTTACATAAAATAAATAAATAGCTACTGCATTGTGCAGCGAGCTTCAGCAGTACTGTTTTCCCCCCCACTTGCACACCACACAGCTGCTCGTCTTTTCAAGTAACTTTGGTTGGTTCAAAGCTTAAGAGATGAGCTCTCTTCATGGACCAGTTTTAATGTGGCACGAGACGTCGGACATAACGACCATCAGGAGGTTTAAATTGGCCAAATTTACTCATCCTTCTCCACAACCAGAAATAAAAATAAAAAAAAAGAAAGAAGTGTGTCATCAGTGGGTGTAAGTGGCTTGGACTACTTTAATTTTAGACACATGGTAGACATTGCTGCCTCCTCTGTCCTAGTGATATCCTGAAGTAACAAAGCAAAAGACAAGAACAGGGAGGGGATGTTGATTGGCAGCACTGACAGGAGGTTGAAACCACGAGAGTGATGCTCTGGGTGGATGTAACATTCAAAAGGGTGCCACTTGATATCAGCCTCCAGCTCACGCCTCATTTTACTGCAGCGGGGAAGCCTTTGTCGGGATCATGATCCTGGAATCCATATGCTGAATGAGAGGAACTGGAGAAAAGGGGAAAGGTTTAGAGCTGGTTCAGTGCGTCCTCATAGTTTAAAGTCCTTTTGATACGGATTCAGTTCAGCAAGCTCTAAAAGTGACTCAATATGTTGTTACTTAAAAGAGTTTTTATCACCACCCTGTGTTCAGAAAGTGATTCCCCCCTCCTCACCTGTGTAATACACCACCTCGTCCCAGCCCTCCTGCTGCCAGGCGCCATTCCTCGTGTCTTCTCTGGACTGAAGGTCTTTGTAAGCTGCAATCGACAGATCAAACACACTGTAGCACTGCTTATAGTAAATGGAGTTCCTGCACTACAAGTTTTGCGTGTTTTAGAGCTGCAAGTAACAACTCATTTTCATTTTTGATTGAAAGATTAATCGTTCAAATGGTGATTTTAAACGGACATTTCTGGAAATGTGGGTGCAGCTGTAAACACCAGGTGACATATTTACAATTAAATCAGAGATGGAGCAACAAGAGCAATTGTATAGTGTCCACCAGACCAATTAAGTCCAATATTCACTCTCCTTTCAGCTGTTTTGTCTCCAGAGGGAGAAATGTCTCTCTTTAGCTTCTAAATGCTTCACCAGCTGTACACTAACTTTCTTTCAGGTAATAGCTAAAAGAACAGTGAGCTGAAAAAAGCTAAAAACGCTCTGTGGAACTATACGTGGATTCCTCACTACAAGTGACCCAGTTCAAGTTGCACGTAGTCATCGGGTCGATTGTTTGACTAAAAATATTAATCAGTGCAGCTTTAAATCTACAATCTAACTATAAATGAAGGAATATTTGTCAGTCTGTCCCTCGATTTTTCTCAAGCACTAGCGCTATTATCTACATGGTGACACTGTTGGTATGTCATTTTGCATGAAGCTGGCGTTTGATCATACCCCAGAGGTGATGAACCATGTAGAGGTCGCCGATCTGTGAGAAAAACCCTCCCACGGCTTCTCTGTTGTGCTGGCGGTATCCAATGGCCCTGGCCCTGCGCACGAGAACAACTTCAGTCACAACACAGGCCAAAAAAACACCAAGGCTTCATCTGGCACAACAGCAGGCCTGCACACGTAACATATTTGACCAGTCTTCAAACAAGGACGTCAACATCATCTTTGGATTTATCTTGGACTGTTTTTAATTTACACAATTGAATTTAGTCTTGTTTTTTTCTTTTTTTTTTTTTAAAGCTAGACAACGCTAGTCTTCCATTGCCATTTTTTTTTACTTGTATACATGTTTATGAATCTCAACACCGGCCAAGTCCATGTGAGATGAGTGGAATGTTTTCCTCCCCAAGGCAAACATGCACTTATTCAAATCATAATCACTGTCTGGATACAAAACTATAGAGCGTCAGTTCATCATGTTGTTGTAACTTGAAGAGGACATTTAAGCCTTAAGCCTCAACTGCACAAATTATATTGAAATTGCCTTAAATTGCTTTGCTGGCATAATCTGGGGTGACTATAGAGGTTTGTTCAAATAAAGACTGGCTAAAGTATGAATAAACGCACACGTAAAAGGGAAAAATAACTCCAAGTGTGATCTTTCCAGCAAAGTTGTTTTAGAGTCCGACCGATCTGAGTTTTTTTGGAGGCCGATACCGATTTTTGAGCTGGAACGAAAATAGACCAATTTTGCACTGATATGACAATGCAAAGGTACTCAGACTGCTTTCTTAAATACCTTTAATATTTAGGTTAAATATTCTTTAACATGTTAAATAATTAAACATGCAGGCTACAATGTTAACCAAATTAAAAAAAAGAAAAATAATTAATAAAAATAAATAGCTAAACATCAGTACAAGCCTTTTTACATTATATACTGGGATTATTAGCGCATATCAGATAACATATACACTGTTACATCTTCAAAAAGCCAATATCAGCCTTTAATATCGTCAGACTCTAGTTTGTTTTCCCCTGAGTATTTAAATCATGTCTGTTTCATCAGGATTGAAGGAACTGGAAGCCTCGAAAGCAGAAAAGTGTTTAAGGTTAGATTTACATATAAAATCATTATCACAAACGGGTTAACTGGAAATCAGAAGCCCTGACTGTAGTGGCATTTCAGGAATGTTGGAGTTATCTTTTACACCAATCATCACTGACAAAGTTGCAAAACAGGCCGTGATATGTAACCCCGTGGAAAAAAAACAGGTCAGACAAGTACAAAGAACCAACACAGAAATCCACTACGAGGAAATCAAAGTACAGAAAACTAAAGGCTTGTGCAGAAAGCTCACGTCTTCATTTAAATCAATTGCAATCAACTGCATTGCACAAACAGATATATGTTGACCTGTTGGCTCCTCGTCATACTCAACTATTGTGTACACACACACCCTCGTAGGGTACATCATACTCTACTTTGAATTTGAATCTTGACCTGAGAGCATGACAGTGCCGCTGCGAAATAGTGCCTCTCTGTGGAATAGCTCTTTATTAATGAAAGCGTGATGAGGAAGGTTTCATGTAGTGCAACTGATCTGTAACTACAGCTCAGTGAATCAAATGAATTCAGGCTGCCTTACCAGTAATTACCCCACTCGATCATGGTTCCTGGCTGGAAGAAAGAAAACACAATATTGGTTATTACAATAAAACATATATAATTCAGCTTTCATAAGCGGAGACTGAAATCACATTGTCTTCTTCTTTCCAGAGGAAACACATTAACACTAATAAATGGTGGGGATGTAACACAGGTATTTTGTCATTCTGAAGATAAGCTGCAATAACAACTACACCCGAAGGCTTCTTCAATCATTCTCTGGTGCTTAAGACAACAAACGCCCCGCTGTTCCTACGCGGTAATCTCAGTCTGTGATGAGGGATAATAGCTTACATTCATCACGTGTCACAGGGAGCGCTGATCTAGACTCTGTTTTTTTCCTGCTTATTTAGAAACAACGACTTAATCTGCCATGATTGAGCAAGAATCGAGTATTACGTAGGACCAAGACTGCCTTCAATTTAACCACTGATCCATCTGAAATCATGTGCCATCGGACTGCCAATTTGATTTGAGTCCGTAAGTAGATACAAACTGTTCATGAACGACCCGGTGGAAGAAACAGCAGGAATGCTGACTTTATGTCTTGCAGTAGTTTTGAGAGGGTGGAAGGTAATTTAGAGGTCACAGAAGCAAAGCATGTGACTGGAGCTTCATCGGTTTAAATGGAAAAACGTGAGTTAGGTAAAGTGGAAGAGTAACACTGTCCCTTTCTGCAACAACTGCTGAGGAGGTTCAGACGTTACAATGAGATTATATATGTAGTGGATGCTTGTTTCCAGTGGTTATGATACAAAAAAGTGAGTGAGTCAACTTTCCCTGCATTACCCAACACACTCTTTATCACCTCCGTCATTTATATCATAATGACAAAAGTTGGTTCAACATTAAACAAATCACAGTGTATCAGGAAACAGCCTCTGCAGGTTACACTGTTATGATTACGCTCAGTTGTGCTGAGGTCCGGTTCTCCAGACTAAACACAAAGGGTTTTTTCTATAAAAGCAATCTCAAAGTATTTTACAAACACTATTGTTTATATCTTTTTTTCTGCTCGTTAAAGAGTTTTTGAGGGGTGTTGCAGACCTTTTAGGGGATTTTTTTTGTGATTTAGGGGCTATATAAATACAGTGTAATTGACTTGAAAAATTGAATGGGTGTAACAGCTTATATTGAGTTAATTGCTCTTTCTTTTTAAGTCTAATAAATGTTTGGATTGTTGGTAATAGTGCTGATTATGTTTGGCAACGCAGAGGAAGGGGCCATGTCAGACATTAGGTTGGGCTGGGCTCACACTTTCAAACATGTACAGCAGCACTAATGATGAGGTAAACTCTCTGGTCCGTTACTCACCCGGAGCTGGTAGGACCTGAGCTCATAAATGTTGGGGCCCTCTCGGGGTACGGGCTCGTTCCAGAAGCTGAACTCCAGCAGGAGCTGATTTCTGCGAGACATCAGCATCTTACCCCGCTCCTTCCTGTACGCTGTGAAGTCCTGCAAATGGACGGACACCGATCAATGAGCTTTACTTCGACTGATGGCTGTACTCTGTTATTACTAAAGCATTAAACAGGGGGTGACACAAGCAAGATGTGTCTGAAGTCTTCACCTGGTTCTGCTTGAGCTTGTTCATCACCTCTGTTAGAGCCGGGTATCCACCTCTGTAACGCCACAGATGAACTGCGGAAAAAAGGGGGGGGGGGAAATCAGAGATGGAAAAACCACAAAAACAAACTACAGAAAAGATTTAAAGCAGGAAATTAAATGATTAAATAATGAACCTGACCTTTGACATTATTCGTCTCCCTTTGTGAGAGTGTTGGATCAATACAGAGCAGGAATGCTCAACCTATATGTCTACGTAAGAGCTGTATTTTCTTAATAGATTTTAAAAATAAACTACATCCTGATAATTGAAGATCAATAGCTGACACGGCTGACAACACAGAACACACAAGAACTGTTCATTAGTCTGTACAGTCATATTAGGCAATTACTTAATGACACTGAATGATTTTCCATGGATATCTGACTTAATGGATAAGACAGTTTGTTCAAGTACTATTCCAATAATTTAGTATTGCTTTGTACTACTAGACAACAATTAATGCAACAGTTTGCAGTTATGTTGTTGTTGAAAAGAAATATTGACCCTGGAAAACAGGACTGCTCATAAAAAAAAAAGGTAGAACAATAGATTCTCTAGGTTTAAAAACCTTTGCAGGATACACACACACACGTTTAGTCTGCCATGGAACAAACTGGATGTTTATCACGGATTGTTTTACAAATAATACTGGGTTTTATTTGTGATGTAACGGTATATACACAGTATTGTATACTCTTATATATACTGTCAATGGGTGTTTGAACATTGAGTGTAAGGACGTAAGTAAAGCTTTATTTATACAGAACTTTTTAAAACACAAGCAGCTTTACATACATATAGACATATACACACACAACCATACACATACATATAAAACGTAAATACTAACATATGGGTGATATGTGGAGTGATATTCAACAGGCCTGCTGATTTACACACTGTGCAGACCATATAGGACGGGTTACACTGCAGATGTCTGTGTGTTGATAATAGTAATCCTACCAGCCTGGTCTTGTTCTCCATACCAGGTATTCCAGGTGCCCACCAGCTCACATGGGTAGTACTTATCAGCATGGATGGAGGGCAAAACATCCTCGCTGTGATGAAGAACAAACACCAAACTGAACCAAACAAACTGAAATACGGTGTAACCACAAGTGCATTTGATACATTTAAGCTAAATTCCCAGTGAAACAACTAAATCTAAATAACAATCACATGTTTTTTTGGTCACATGTCTTCTTTCTCTGTAATGCTGCAAGTCTTAAATTAGCCCC